CCTGGACACCACCTGGGAAATCCTTAAGGAACAGGTGCTCAGCCAGGGCAAGTGCTCACCTGAAGTCCCAGGACAAGTTTTTGGCCAGGAGGAAATGTCCTCCTTTCCTCAAATGGGACTCCTGATTACCTCATCCCACTACCATGTCCCTTCTCTGGCTATGGCAGGAACAAGGCATAATAAGTTGCCCAGGAAGCTCACAGGGGCAGCTCTCTTTCTCCTCCAGCTACACATAACATACCTAAATCCCAGGTGTCCTCCATCACCACTGCTCTGTGGGGCCTGAAGGCTCAGAGCCCTGTTCTCCCTAACTCTGTCCTTATCCTCTTGGGTTCCTTGTACCTCCAAACTCCCAAACTCCCACCTTCCCCAACTCCCAAGCTATGAACCTGAGAGTCAGCCAACATGCCCCCTTCTTCCCAGGTCCACACATCCAATAGAACTACAGTCCAGTTAATTCTTCCTACACATGTTAAATCTGTTCATTTCCTTCTATCCAGGTCACACTCACCTCTTACCTATACCACTGACCTTCTTTCCTGTAATCACTCCTTTTCCAACTCTTTCTCCACAAAGTGACAGCTTATGGGATCCTTCACAAACAAAACTGACTAGATGAATCCCCTACTTAAAATCCTTTCCTGGCTGGGCATAGCTCACACCTGTAATCCCAGCAGTTTAAAAGGACGAGGCCCAAGGATCGCTTGAGCTCAGGAGTTTGAGACCAGCCTGGGCAACATAGTGAGACCCAGTCTCCACAAAAAATTTAAAAATTAGCCAGGCATGGTGGCATGTACCTGTATTTCTAGCTACTCAGGAGGCTGAAGCAGAATTATTGCTTAGCCCAAGATTTGGAGTCTGCAGTGAGGTATGATGGGGCCACTGCACTCCAGCCTGGGCAGCAGAGTGAGACCACAGGTCAGGAGTTCAAGACCAGCCTAGCCAACATGTGAAACCCCATCTCTACTAAAGATACAAAAATTAGCCGGGTGTGGTGGGTGGGTGACTGTAATCCCAGCTACTGGGAGGCTGAGGCAGGAGAATCGCTTGAATCATGAAGGCAGAGGTTGCAGTGAGCCGCAATCGCACCATTGCACTCCAGCCTGGGCGATAGAGTGAGACTCAGTCTTAAAATAATAAAAATAAAAATAAAATTAAAAAAAATATTTCCCTTCCCTGGATCTTCATCGCTTTTAAAATATAACAAATTCAAAGTCAAAATTCCTTGATACGGTTTTCATAGCCTTCCCTAATCTGGCCTTTGCCTACCTCTCAGTTTCATATCTTTCCATTAACAACCCCCCCTCAAGAAAACTTGTTATATCTGGGGTACCTACTAAGATCTAGCAATTGTCATTTTCATCACAACACTGCAAGGTAAGATCATGATTCTCCCTTTACTAATGTGGATGTTGAGGCTCAGAGACTTTAGAGAAGTTGTCAGTGATAGAGCCAGGATTGAAATCCACATCTCTCTGCTAGGAAACAATTTGCTATACCCTGGCTACTCCCATGCCAGGTGCTCACCAGAAACTTTGCTCCTTTAGACTTGCAGCTCCCTGTCCGTACCCCAGCCATTTAGCCTGCTCAGCCGCCCACCCCTACCTCTCCTATTATCTCTTTTTTTTTTTTTTTTTTTTTTTTTTGAGACGGAGTTTCGCTCTTGTTGCCCAGGCTGGAGTGCAATGGCGCGATCTCGGCTCACCGCAACCTCCGCCTCCTGGGTTCAGGCAGTTCTCCTGCCTCAGCCTCCTGAGTAGCTGGGATTACAGGCACGTGCCACCATGCCCAGCTAATTTTTTGTAGTTTTAGTAGAGACGGGGTTTCACCGTGTTGACCAGGATGGTCTCGATCTCTTGACCTCGTGATCCACCCGCCTCGGCCTCCCAAAGTGCTGGGATTACAGGCTTGAGCCACCGTGCCCAGCCTCTCCTATTATCTCTACATGGCCAGTGACCTCAGTCCTGCAAGGCTCAGGTCAAACATTGCCTCTTCTATGCAGCTTTCCCTGAGTCATCCTCTCCAGCTGGAGTCTGCCTCTTCCACAGCTCTTGATCTTGCACTCCCCCAAGGCCCTGGTCCCTCTGTGCCTCACTATTTGTGTTCATACCTTAAGAATGGAGTTGAGCAGCACTCCAATGCAAAAAACATGGGCTTCAGCCTCAGACAGACCTGGGGAAAAATCCCAGCTCAACCACTTACCCACCTTAGACAAGTGATTTCACCTCCTTCAGCCTCAGCTTTCCCGTCTGTGATATGGGGATACTGGCATTCCCTTGCAGAGAGGTTGGAAGGATTTAAAGACAATGTATGTTAAGTGTCCCAAGAAGGGCCTGGCACATAGTGGGCTCTCGGGAAGTGGTGGCATCCTCTTCCTCTCTGTGAGCCTATGACCATCACTGTCTCCCATGAAGGGTCACTGGGGCCTCATTACAGAGTTCAGAAATGCTGGCAGCATGCCTGAGCAGTGGAAGGCCTAGGTCAGGTCCAAGGGGGGATGTGTGTGTACCACCCGATGCCCACTCTCCGTTGAAGGGTGATGAAGTGGGTGAAGGGAGGAGAGAAAGCGGCGTCCCCCAGAGCACCATCTCCCAGGAAACCCAGCCAGGGAGGCAGCTGCCATGGAAACCGCTGCTGTCACGTGTGCTTGTCACTCTAGGCTCCAGAGAGAAATTCTCAGGATCTATTTAAGAACTAATAAAATAATGACGGTCTTGTTCACCCTCACTGGCCCCCACCCCAGGCTTCTACTCCTCTCACCTTCTTCCCTCCCAGGCTCTTCCCTGCCTCTTCTCTACCTGCTTCCTGACCCTTCATCTCCTCATTTCCTTCCCATCTCCACCAGTAACTCTCTTTCCTTGCCCCTTTCTAGGACTGTCTCTTTCTCTCTCACATCAGTTCTGTCTGCTAGTGTTTCTTCATCTCTCCCTGCGTCTCTGCTCTCCATTGCTCTGTCTCTTGATCTCTCCTCCACAATCACAGGTGGCCATGCCCAGGGACGGGTCCTGTCCTCCTGGTCCCTGGTCCAGGCCAGTCCAGACCTGTCAAGCTCGCCCTGATCTGCTTGGATTGATCTGTCATCCCCTCTAGACTGCAACCTGAGTCCAGTCGGTGTCTCAGCCCCCACCCACAGCCTGGTACACTGCAGGTGCTCCACCACCAGCGGGTGGGTGTGTCAGAGCCCTGGGTGGGAGGGAGTTGCACTGGTTCAGGCTTGGCCTGTTTTCCTTTCCTTTTTTTTTTTTTTTAGTAAGCCCTCCCTACCCCTCCCACCCCCAAATTTGATCCAAAGGAAATTGCTCAACTGTGACTGCCAGGGCGTTACCATGGTTACTGGGTAGCACTTGTGGCTATGGCAACAGGAAGCTGCCTGTTGTCTCGGCAACGAGCATATTGGTAAGGGATGGAGTGGCCCCTGATTGGTGCAGAAGCAGAGCATTTCCTGAGGGGAGGGGGTCAGATCATCACCTTCTCAGGCCAGATGGGCATCAGTACCCCTTCCTCCATGAAAGGGAAGGCCGCTGTTTTTTCCTCCCGGCATTCAACTGCCTGCCCCCCAACAATAATTCCTCACACCCCAGGCACCCAGCTCTTGGCAGTTTACAAAGACCTTTTGCGTCCCCATTACCTCATGTGATCCCCACAACACCCATGAGAGGAAGGTGAGATGGGGATTCAATCATGAATTCACTCAGGGTGGTTGGGGGATGGGAATGTGGGGGGGGGATATATTGAAATCACCTAGGAGTGTTTTCAAATTATACAATCCCCCAACTTAAGAGCCTCATCTGGTTCCTGGGTGATTTTTATCTACACTTCATCAGGAGCCCCTGAATTAAAGGGTGAAGTTGGTGGTGGGGGGAAGGGATGGAAGGAGAAGTCAAGCTGCTTTTCAGGCTTATAGTGTGGGTGACTGGGAGGATCAGGTTGGGACAAAAAAATATGAGCTCCGGTTTGGGTGTGTTGCGTGAAGGCACCAGTGGGACTTTCTAGTGGGGATGTCCAGCAGGCAGCTGGTGACATGGCTCTGAAGCTCAGAAGAGAATGCAGGCTGGAGACACAGAGCTCTGAGTCATCCCTGTTTGGAGAGGAGCTGAGGCTGTGGGTGTGGACGAGACTATCCAAGAAAAGTAGGAAAAGCCAGACAAAAAGGGCCGAGGATGGCGCCTTGGAAAATTCCAGTATCCTCAGGGCATGGGACCCTGGGGAGGGGATGGAGAGGGTGAGTGTGGAGACTCTGGTGACATAGCAGCTTGGGGAATGTTTTCCCATTAGAAAAATTGAATCTTGCTGGGCGCGGTGGCTCACGCCTGTAATCCCAGTACTTTAGGAGGCCGAGGCGGGCGAATCACTTGAAGTCAGGAGTTCAAGACCAACCTGGCCAACATGGAGAAACCCTGTCTCTACCAAAAATGTAAAAATCAGCCTGGCGTAGTGGCATGTGCCTGTAATTTCAGCTACGTGGTAGAAAAAGAAAAATTGAACCTGAGAAAGGGTGGCTTACTTAAAGTCATACAACCATTAAATGATAGAGTTGGGGGCAGATAGCACTGAGTCTGATTCCCAGACTCTCATCTAAATGACACATTGCATGATATTCTCCATTTTAGACGTAAAACACAAATCTGCAGTATCAATTCTACCCTCCTGCCCAATCCTCTCATGCAAAGCCTTTAAGTAAGTCCAGGAGCCAACGGGGCAGGCCTCATATAGACAGACCCTGCCTAGAGACCCAGGCAGAAAAATCTCCTTAGCCACTACATTCCACCTTGTGCTTGCTGAGTTCCTGTCACCCATCCCTGCCAGTTTCAGCACCGTCTAAATTCCTGAGTTTAAGGAAGGAATCTTGGAGAAAATCTGTAATCCCAGTGTGGAAGCGGTGAAGTGTGGAGTTCAAAGGGGCTCGGGCTCAGGTCCTGAGGAGTCCAGGGGTGGAGAAGCTGGGGGATCCAGGACCAGGCAGTCACGCTGAATGGGTGTGTTGGTCTGATGTCTTTCAGATGAATCGTCCGATTCAAGTGAAGCCAGCTGCCAGTGAGGGCCGAGGAGGTAACTTCCCTGTCTGACCAACCTCAGGCTATCACCTATGTAAGGGAGGGTGGATCCATACCTGGAGTCAGCCCTATCCATGGCTTAGTATGAGAGCCTCCCTGGGTGAAGGGGACAGGCAGGGCTCAGAGTTGCTAAGCCCCAGAAATAGCTCAGCCATCCCTGTTCAGACTGAGCAGGGCTGAAGCTCTGGGGAGCCCACACCCAGAAGAGGCAAGAAGGGCCTAAACAGACGCCAGTGATAGAGAAAGGGGATTCTTGCCACTGTATCCTTGGAGAGAGATCATTCCTGTTTTGCCACACGGAACTTTCAGGGTTTTGTTGTTATTGTTGTCATTTTTAAGAATCAGCTGGGAATTATTCTCCTTCTCTAGATCCTTCTGATTTCAGAGAACACAGCCCATTCCGGATTGAGGCTATTCCTTCATTGTGATTGCTTAGCTGTTCATAGTAAAATAAGGCTGGTACAACAGACTTTATAGTAAGCCATAGTAAGTCCTTTATGCTGAGGACCATGGAAAGCTCTGAGAGCTACACTGTTTCCTGGTAGAGAAAGATCTGTGCTCCTTAAGAACAGGAGGTAGACTAGGTGCAGTGGCTCACACCTATAATCCCAGCACTTTGGGAGGCTGAGGTGGGTGGATCACTTGAGGCCAGGAGTTCAAGAGCAGCCTGACCAACATGGTGAAACCCCTTCTCTACTACAAATACAAAAATTAGCTGGGCATGGTGTTGGACGCCTGTAATCCCAGCTACTCAGGAGGCTAAGGCTAAGGCAGGGAGACAGAGGTTATAGTGAGCCAAAATCATGCCACTGCACTCCAGCCTGGGCAACAGAGTGCAACTCTGTCTCAAAAAAAAAAAAATTGCATAGGACGGGTAGACAGCCTGTGCTTTCTTCCCACCATCTGGGATCTGGCCAGCTTCCATGCTGGAAAGGCAATGCTGGCTTCTGGTGTCAGTTCTTGGTGTTTTTCTCACCCTTGGATCTTAGATCATTCCAGGGTGTCAGCCTATAGCCCTCCCTGATGTCTGCTGACTCTTTCTCTTGGGTAACACTCTCTTCCTGTCTTCCTGTCTTACCTAAGATCAGCTGTGGCTTCGCCAGGTGAAAGAAGCTGCCCAAGTTCAGGAACAGAATGAAACCCAACTGATATAAACATGTAGTGATTCCTACTCATTCTGCACCCCTCTCAGACTCCATGCTCAGTCTGAGAACCCACACACGGAGTTCTGGTGGCTTTGTGGTTCAATTGTGGAGTTCGTTCCTCCAAGAAATACTTCCTTTATCCTTTTAGATTCTCTGACCTCTGGTCTCTGATTCCTGACTTCTGGTCAAGACATTATCAACTCCATCTTGTCTTGGAGAGATATTTCCAAGTTTCCTCCTCTGTCCATGCACATCCTCCTTTTCCTTTTTATTCTTTCCAGTTGAGTTTTTGAAATGTTCCAGACTGCATACAAAAGCTCAAGTTCATGTAACGCAAGAGTTTCTGCTTCTTGGGAAACTCTTTTAGGCATCAAGGCCACTGTTGGCCCTCTGCTAAAGCCTTGCCCACAACCATGAGCCGGTCCCATAGCTGAGAAGCCAACTAAGAGTATGTGAGTGAGCAGCAAAGCAGACAGGTTCAGCCACACAACCAACATCTTCTGAGCAACTTACACCACATCAGGAATACAGATGTGGGCAAAGCAGACCTGGTACCTGGCCTCATGAAGCATGGAGGCTGTGAAGGAATATGGACAAGTAAACAAGGGAACACAGTTCAGTGCGATTGCTGCTTTCAAGGGGAAGTCCGGGGGAGTTGTGGGGACACAAACAAGGGGCACCTAATCCAGCCTGGGAGGTCAAAGTGGGTTCCCAGAGGAGTAACATTTAAGCTGAGATCTCAAGGATGAATAGGAAGTAGTCAGAGAAAAGAGGAGCGAGGGAGCAAACATGTTGGGCAGAGGGAAGAGCGTGTCTGCAGGCCCCAGAGCTCTGAAGAACGTGGTGCAACTTGGAGTCTTGTTCAGGAACGAAGTCCACAGTGCTAAGGCACTCTTGCTGTGTGGAGTCCACTCCATCTTGTCAGTGTTTGGGCAGCCGCACAAAGGAGACCTCCATGCTGGCAGTGCTTTTGCCTGGTCGCAGTGTTCTGGTGGCCTGGGCTCGAAGCAGTGATATCGGCTTGAGTTGGAGAACTTTCTTTCCACTTTTTTTTTTTTATAAATCTTGCAGGTGTCACATCATTGACAAATTCTGTACATATGGCATTCCACCTATACACCTGTCCAAAAGAGCAGGAAAAGCAAATCTAGCTGAAAAGAGGTCTGCCTGGCAGCAGAATTCGTAATTTAGCAGTTGTGTTACACAGATATTTCTGAACAAGTGGTGGCTCTCAAGAAGCATATACTCCAAATGCATCCATGAATATCCTTCTTGCAGGTTTGGATGACCAGATCTCTCAGTTCCTCCCTGCTCCCTACTATATATTCAGGAGAGAGAAGGCATATGTAGAACCATCTTGCAGAACAGTCGGGCCTTTACAATTTATAAGTATTTTACTACTAACAGATCTGTGTTAGATAATCACTACTAATCAAAATGTGGTTTCTTCAAGGCTATTGTGTATCTCTTCTAAAGTGGGTTCAACCCTCTGCTGAATTTTTAACATAACCTAATGCTTTAGAAAATCAATGGTATGGGTTTTTGCTCTTTAAAATGCTTTTTAAATTGGTATTGGGGTTTGCTCTTAAATTGTAGCATTTGACACCAATGCGGAACAGCTTGTCCCTTTTCAGTCTTATCTCTGTGACCTCAAACATTCTATAAACCTTCAGAGTCAATGGTCACACCTGACCAGATTTAAGCCTGTGAGCCTGTGTATTCTAGAATCATTCCTGAAATAAAATCCCTTAGTTTACCATTGGTTAATAATGATTTCTATATCTGATAAGAATACTGATGTCAATGAAAACATAATCTAAGGGATATCAAGGCCAACATATTTTTCCAAAACCTTCCACTTTCTTATGGAAGAGATTATTACATGATTTTTCTTCCCATCAGGTAGGGATCATCAGCCCAAATCTACAGGAGCCCAGGTAGGTAACCTTAATTGGGTGAGACTCCTATCATTTAATAAGATAATTTACAGCTGGGCATGGTGGCTCATGCCTGTAAATCCCTTTAGGAGGCCAAGATGGGAGGATGACTTGAGCTCACAAGTTTGAGACCAGCCTGAGCAACATAGCAAAACCTCATCTCTACAAAAAATATACAAAAATTAGCTGGGTATGATGGTATACATCTTTAGTCCCAGCTACTTAGGAGGCTGAGGCAGGAGGATCACTTGAGCCTGGAGTTCAAGGCTGCAGTGAGCTATGATCATGCCATTGCACTCCAGCCTGGGCAACAAGAGCGAAATTCCATCTCAAAAAAGAAAAAAAAAAAAATATATATATATATATATATGTGTGTATATATATATATGTTTTAATTCAATTTTTAAAAATAGACCAGCACTGTGAGATCCTACCAAATCTATCACAACAACTGCTAGAGTTTTCTTTTTTTTTTTTTTTTTGAGACAAAGTCTTGCTCTATTGCCCAGGTTGGAGTACAGTGGCATGATCTCGGCTCACTGCAGCCTCTACCTCCCAGGTTCAAGCAGTTCTCCTGCCTCAGCCTCCCAAGTAGCTGGGATTGCAGGCACACACTGCCATGCCTGGCTTATTTTTTTATTTTTTTATTTTTTTGTATTTTAGTAGAGATGGGGTTTCACCGTGTTGTCCATGCTGGTCTCGAACTCCTGAGCTCAGGCAATCCACCTGCCTCTGCCTCCCAAAGTGCTAGGATTACAGGCATGAGTCACTGTGTCCAGCCCTGAGGGAAAAGTTTTTGACACTGAGTATATTTAATGTAGAAATGGGTGTCTCTGTATGTTAGGAGATAGTTTCATTTTAGAAAGTTAGATGCATTTTCCTTTAATAGTGTACTGCTCTATGTGTACTGCCACAAGATGTAAAATATAGCCCTGGAGTGTGGAGTATGGGAACAGTGTGGAATTTAGCTACAGAATTTATGCAAACTCACTGGAATATATTAAAACGCTGCTATAATATATTCCACAAAGGCCCAGATGTACCTCTGGTACTCTGAGAAAAGTGTCACCAAGGCTGCAGGGGATGGCCATGACAGAAAAGGACCTTGGCATCTTTCATCAGAAAGGTCCTTATGTATTGCAATATTATTGTATCGTTAGGCATCAAATTAACAAGTGTTACCAATGACTATTAAAATTAATATGACAGGGGCCAGGCACGGAGATTCTTGCCTGTCATCCCAACGCTTTGGGAGGTCAAGGTGGGAGAATCATTTGAAGCCAAGAGTTTGAGACCAGCCAGGGCAACAAAGTGAGACCCTGTCTCTACAAAAAATAAAAATACAAATGTGTAGTGACATGTACCTGTAGTCCCAGCTACTCAGGAGGCTGAGGCAGGGGATCACTTCAGTCCAGGAGTTCAAGGCTGCAGTGAGCTGTGATGGTGCCACTGCATTCTAGCCTGGGCAACAGAGTGAGACACTGTCTCTAAAAATAATAAATAAATAAGTAAATAAACAAATAAATAAAAACCATACAACATATAATATGTGTGTTGGTTATTTCAACCACAAACCTCATGTTTATTGATTAAAAGTAAGAATACTTAAAACTTAATTCTGACAGAGCTGAAAAAAAAAAAAGTAAGAATACTACTACACTATTGCATCAAAACTTAAGTGACAGAAGATAAAGTAGCTATTTTTGTTAAAAAGCTAGGCTGAGCGTGGTGGCTGATGCCTGTAATCCCAGCACTTTGGGAGGCCAAGGTGGGCAGATCACTTGTGATCAGGAGTTCAGGATCAGCCTGCCAACATGGTGAAACCCCATCTCTACTAAAAATACAAAAATTTGCTGGGCGTGCCAGTGGGCACCTGTAATCCCAGCTATTTAGGAGGCTGAGGCAGGAGAATC